ATTGCATATCTGTATATTATCAGTTTGAGTTGTAATTAACCCTACATTCGTTGTTCAAAAATATTTCTCCTAAGCATGTCCTTTCTTCACATTTGTAAATATTAGTACATATTAGTGCATATTAGTACATATGACAATTGGGACATATGGCAATATGCCTATAATATAAATAAACAAATTCACATTTTAAACTCGGTAAACTTTTATTATCATATGGCACAATGTATACTCCTTGATTATACTATACTCTTACTCACATAAAAACAATTTTTCTCACCATAAGTTGTCTGCAGAAGAGCATCAATACTCACATGTGATAGTAACTTAATACTTGAATATTTAGAAAATAGCAATACATTTCCAATTTCAATAAATTTATATCGTAGACTCAACCTTAATCATAACCTTTTATCACCTTATTGCACAAAGTATACATCTGCGTTATGTTCTATTCATTTTCACAAAGAAACAATTTTTCTTATCATAGTTTAAACTACATCAACACTCACATGTGATACTAACTTATTATTAGTGCTTATATAATTAGAAAATGGCAGTATATTTCGATTTTCAATAAAATTACATCATAAATTCAATAATCTGTTATCACCTTTTTACACAAAATATACGTCTATGTTACATTCTACTCTCTCTCACAAAAATCAATTTTTCTTATCATAGTTTAAACTGCATCAACACTCACATGATACCAACATACTATTTGAATGAACACACACAGAATCATATTTAAAAGGAATAAACGCTAAAAAGTGAAGGAATCTTCGCGAGTACCGCGAAAAATCGATAGAAGCAGCCTTTAAATACGAACCTCCATCATAATACCGGAAGCGAGGCTGAGATGTTCGCTTATCGCGTGGAATTAGCCGAAGATGGCAGGACTCGGTTGCTGGGTCGGAGGAATTATGCTCTTCCTGTACTTCGTGAACGATGCGTATCTTCTTCATTCATCTTGTAGTTTCCAGGAAAGATGGCTGCTCACGCACTGTTCGTCTGCGCGATTTAAATAGAGGAGTCGATTCAAAGGGATAAAATATTTATTCATGGATACGAATATTACGCTGTACGAGCAACGGTACATGAACGTACAACGTTGCTTTAACGTTCACTGATGCGTATTTTTAAGACAGTAGGGATCCAATTCAAAGAAATTACAACGAAAAAAAGAAGAAAATGAATGCAGAATTATGTTTTTACAACGGTACATGCGTTCACAATGTAGCTCTCATGACTCTCTCATGCGTGCCTTTCGAAGAAATCAAAAATTTATTCACGGATGCAAAATTATACTCGCTACAACGATGCACGCGAACACAACCGTTTTCATGTATGTAATTAACGGACCAGTGTACGCGTATATTCTGGTGGTTCGTTAAGAAATGTTGCACCTCTCTAGCGTGAGTCTCCGATTGGAAACTCGTTTAATTAGTCCGACGCTGTTGAACGATATGTGCTTTCTTAACATCTCATTGATGAACCTCGTGCGCATTCATAATGGAAAAAGTTTGGTACATAACGTGTAATTTTCTTTGCAGAAATGTTGTGGGGCAACAAGACGCAGCGCAGATTTCAAATTTCCCTACATGTTTCGAAATTATACATATGTAGAATTATAGTTTTCTTTGTTTTCAAAATGTTTAATTCTGCAATTTGGAGTATTGGGAATTCAAGTTTAAATATTTCAATTTTATTATCTAGTTTTTATTTTATTGTCAAATTTAGAATTTTGCAAAATTCGCAAATTCAAATTTAAAATTTGCAAATTCAAGTTCAACGGCTAATTTTGAAGAAAATTAATTATTTGAAAATTTGGAAAAATAAACATTTTATACCTTGGAAATTTAAGAATATAGAAACACTAAATTTTCAAATTACAAAATTAGAATTGAACTGAAAACATACAGATATAAACAAAATATACGAAAGGGTTAAATATACAGATTTCAAGTTGAGGGACTTAAAAATTTAAGAAGTTGTATAGATATTAAAAAATATAAATCTACAAAAATACGAAAATGTGAAAGTACAAAAACATAAAAGTACAATAGGTAAAAGTATATATTTACTGCAACCGTCTTTCTTAATTATTTTCTTAACAAATTACAAACAGATGCTCCTCGATATGAAAATAGATTATATACCTTGTATGCCACAAGTCAGATGTATTATAATATAGTGTCGATTATTTGAACGTCTATTAAGTAGGAAAGCGAGTAATTACCCGAGCACACCGCTGAACGCAGTTTCAAATATTCGAGCACGTTCGATAACCACACACTTGATTTTCCCCGCCACGTTTCACTATTAACAAGCTATTAAGAGATCTGTTCTGTCAAATTTCTGAAGTTTCTTGGCTGATCGACATATTTTACAGCGATGAAATGTAGCACAGCGACTACAGAGTCTTTTATGGAACTTTTACCCGGTGAAAGTTTTGTAACAATGAAGTGATTTTATCCTTTAATTGCGATGTGCTCTGAAAAGAAGCGATCAGTGTTTTTCAGTGTAATGTATTAATTGGTGTAAATACGTCAATTCATTTACAATTATATGTTATGCAATTATTATGTGCGTACAATTATATATTTACAAATGCATATTTACAATATATATTCATATATTAATTATTTTTGTAAATATTTTATACATATAGATATTGTATGAACATTTCATAATTTAGTTATGAAAATACATAGTAATACTTGATTATGAATAATATAACAGAAGAATAGTCTATAAAATAGTGAATAAAGTATTTAGGTTATGGTCAATAGTTGTCTTAAAACATTTATTTCTAACATTTATTTTGTACAAAAGGAAAATGCTTAGATATTATTGCAAAATTATAAGACTTCATGGAAGCTTATCAATGAAACTTCTATTTATCCACTTATTTCTGAATATATGTAATTTTGAACTCTTTTTAATTCAAAGTAATTTTGAACAATATCGACTTAACAAAAATTGTTCTAACGTCTATTAAACGTGTACCTTTTCATTTAACTAGAGTTGACGAGTTAACTTGTGATGGTTATTAACACATTTTTAATACATTTGTACATACACATTAACTCAAATGCATTTTTCAAACAGCATTTTAACTGAAACATTTAACTGTTCAACAAAATTTTTCAATTGTATAAATCTTCTTTTTTAAACTTTGATTTATATAAAATTATACATTACTTTTCAAAATAATAAATTTAGTATGAACATCTAAATTAAGATGTCACAGATCAAATTGACATTCAACAATAAATATATATTAATAATTATATCTTCGCACAAAAAAATTACATAAATTCAACTCCATCATTTTAATAATCAGAAGTAGTATTTTATGAGCTTTCGGTCACTCTAATCGTATCATTCATGTTTCTAATTTTTAACGTATGGCTATTTCATTAGCACCAACTAAACTAAAATATATATAAACTCCAGGGAATTAGACTAGGACGTGGTCCTTTAGTCCTCGTCGCCGGTGCATTTATTTCCGTTCAGAGTTGTGTCAAGCATCTCGTCTACCCTCGAAGTTAATTTTACCGGTTCCGCTCGAAGGAATCGTGTTCCCCGATATGAAAACGGCCGACGACCCCCGGTTAGAAAAAACGAACGATCGTCGGAGGCAATCGATCGAGAGAACGTTCCACGGCAGATAGAGAGCGGGCCAGAGAAAGAAGAAATAATTATTCCATGACCGAGTACGCGTATCGAACGGGTTGGTGAGGTCGCCGAGCGGTTATCAGGCCACAGGTCCAATCAATTACAATGTTGTGCATGTAGCCTACCTGACGGCGTCCCTGCACATCAGCGCAGCTCCATCGGAAATCAATGAAATCCGCCAAAAACTACTCCGTTATTGATACGTCGCGGTTTAAATAGCACGACCGCCACTTCCCGATCACGGTTACCACGCGCGACATGCAGCGACATGTTGCCACTGTGAATCAGTAAGCCCGATGGATTCGTTGTTGCTTACATTATTTTATAGGGAAAACTAAGGAAACAGTTAACTGGAAGGAATGTGGGCCTGGCTAATTATGTTATGACCATCTTTTTACACATATAACAGGGTACTTCAACGTTATGCACGATTTTTCATCCACTTTACCTATCTGATAAAGGTTTATAGCAAGATTTGTTAGTGCTTACATCATTTTATGGGTGAAACTGTCAAGGGAACAGTCAACTGGGAAGAATGTGGGCCTGGCTTGTCATGGTATAATAGGTTTGTCCTTTCATACATGTAGACAGGATGTTTTAACGCGACACATCATTTTTCATCCACTTTAGCTATCTGACAAAAGTTTATAGCAAAATTTGTTGTTACTTACATTATTTTACCGGGAAAACTGTTAAGAGAACAGTCAACTGGGAAGAATGTGGGCTTGGCTAATTATGGTATGATGGGACCATCATTTCATACATGTAATATACAAGGTTTTCTAACGTGATGCACGATTTTTCATTCGCTTTACCTATCTGATAAAGGTTTATAGCAAGATTTGTTGGTGCTTACATCATTTTATGGGGAAAACTGTTAAGAGTACAGTCAACTGGGAAAAATGTGGGTCTAGCTAATTATGGTATGATGGGACCATCTTTTCACACATGTGATATACAGGGTATTCTAACGCGATGCACCATTTTTCATCCGCTTTAGTTATCTGACAAAAGTTTATAGCAATATTTATTATTACTTACATTATGTTATGAGGAAAACTGTTGAGGGATTAGTAAACTGATGGGAATAATGTGGGCCTGGTTCCTTATGGTGTAATAGATTCATTTTCTCACCTATCTAAATAGAGGATGTTTTAATGCAACGCACCATTTTTCACTTGCAGCTATGTGATGAAAAACAATTTACAGCAAAAGTTGCAGGGTATAGAGGATACAATCATATCAATAAAAAAATAATTCGAAAATAATATGATGACAAAATTAATATATTAATAGCGAAATCGAGGTTATTTTGGGTTTTACAAATAAGTACACATGTCCTTAACTGCATTGAAGAGAATATCGAAATGATTTCAAAGTGTAACATGATGTTTTCAGTAATATATCAATTTGCAGTAGAGGAAATGTGAAATATTTAGCTCTTTGTTGTACTTGACTTTAAGACAGTGCAAACGGTACTTGACACTGAAAAGATTACTGAATGCAGCCACACGTCTGGAACATAAGAAAAACGCACTTTATTTAATTAGGTAGAGATAATACACAAACGTGTATAAAGTTTGAATTTCGTGCAAACGCGTGTGCATTTATATTCACTTCTTTATTTACTGTAACTGCAGTTTCTATGTTGCGAATCATGAGTTACATTAGCATTTCGAAATATTAGGTTGGAAACTATGAAACGGGCGTTGAATGAAAATAAAAAACGAAAAGCGCAATTTTTCACATTATTTATTATATTCAATTGAAATAATTTCCATTGGTATCTACGACTTTTTGCCAACGATTGGGCAAATTCAAACAATTCAAAGTCTTTTGTAATATCATTTTGGTTATCGTATTTCTTTTCTCGTGAATATGGAAGATGTGATAAAATTTCATATTGTAGAGAAGTTAATTTGTCAACAGTAATTGGAGCTTTTGCGGTCGATCATCTGCAGTTGCGCCAATTCGTCCGACACATAGGAGTCCAATTTTTTGACTTTATTTATTGCACGCAAATGTTTTAATACAGCTGTATGACTAGTTCCAAGTGTTCGACTAGTTGTGTATGGATCGGATTCCACAGTCGTCCTTAATTCCTCGTTATCAATATAGGCCGGTCGTCTTCCTCGCGGCTCATTGACGATATTCAAATTGCCAGAAGGAAATTTTTGGAACCAATATCGAGCATTTTTTTCATTGGTGGATCTATTTCCGAATGCCTGATTAATATTTCTTGAAGCTTGAGCTACGGTATGATTTAATTTAAACTCGTACAAGAAGAGTAGATGTAAATCGCATTTTGTTTCCATCTGGTTTAGGATAAAAATGAAATAAAAATGGGATACAAACACGAAAAAATTTTACAAAATGAGTAAGAAGAATACCTTTAAGCTTTATAAATAAAAATATCGAGCGCACGTTACAATGTATCTCTCTCAGTCGCAGCTGAACACAGACTAAACAAAAAATACCCGTTTCATAGTTTCCAACCTAATATTCCATAAAGAAATTATTAAAATGTGGGATCCACTAAGTGTTTAAACAATATCACCTTCATGTCGTACTAAATACATTGTCGGAAATAAAATAAAATAATATAATATTTTGAAAATCTACGTACCTTCTATTTTCGAAAAACTCTACAATACTAGACCCTGCCTTTTTAATAAAGTACCCCAGTAAAATATCTTCTTTATAATATATCTGCTCAATGAAACACCTTCTTAATAGAATGTCTGCTTAATGAAGCATCTCAACAAAATCCCCTAATAGAATATAAGGTTCAAGGCCGTACACGCATCTGAAAAAAAATAAGGTAATGACGAATACATTGAATAAACATCTACCGTTAAAAACGATACAAATTTAAGTCCCATCAATATTAACCATCAATATTAAGCGTTGACCATATTTTTTCTGGAGTACCGTATCTAATAGCCACGAAGGTAAATCACCCACTTACTACAATGTGGCATTACGTGATCTTCAAGTTTCATCGTCCATTTCTGAAACAGGCTGTACTCGGTTGCACCTCTTTTTTTCCTCGGCGAGGCGAGCCGCAACAAAAATTGCCGGTTACACGCTCTAATACGTTTTTTCGTGTCGTGCTCATTGGAGAACGCCGGTCGCAGCAAAATTTACCAGAAAGCCCCGGTGCATGCACCGGTCCGCGAGAATTTCCATTTTTTCTTCTTTTTTTCTTTGCTTAGAAAAGGCGCGCACACTCTGGCCGCTGAAAATAATCCAAAATAAGTCGCCGGTATCGATCGGGCCGTGCAAAAAGAAGGAAATAGTCGACGCCAGGCACACGCGGCCAGTTTGCCGTGTGTGTTTCAAGCTCACGCTACCACCGCAACTTGCCCGTACACACAAACGTGTTTGCTTCCAACCCCCGTTCAACCACCGGCCCCGTACCACGCTCCTTCACCCCCCAACCCATTCGGCCACCCCCGTGCTGCTTTTATGTTTCGTTTATCAGGCTTAACATGCAACTTTTCCTACCTATTCGACCGGTGTGCCGCCGCTGTTCCACGGACCACGATTATCGCGATGGGAATAGACGCCGCGCGGGGCAGCGCCCGCGAACGCCGAGCATCCCAGATATTACCAAAGACAATTACAACTTTTACAGAATATTAGATTTCTAGGGGGTTTTAGAAAGTTCGGGAGTTTTAAAGAGTTCAGGATTTTGATGTTAACGTCTTTGGAAAGTGGGGATCAGAATTGAAAATATGGGGGATGTTTGGAGCTCAAATGTTTCATTTGAGTATGTAGATAATTTATAATTTTACGAAGTAGTGATTGTTAATTAGAGAGTTGTAAAGTATATCGTCATAGAATCAGATGTCACAAGAATTGTACATGCAAGAATTGTACAATTCAAGATTTTGAGGTTAGCATCTTTGGGAAGTGGGGATCAGAATTGAAAATATAGGGGATGTTTGAAGTTCAAATGTTTCATTTGAATATGTAGATAATTTATAATTTGACGAAGTAGTGATTAGAGAGTTGAAAAGTATATCGTCATAGAATTAGATGACATAAAAATTGTACGTACAGATTGTGTACATTCTGAAAAAAAATGAAAGATATTGATAGGTTAGATAACGTGAATTTCTACAATTCATACTTTCATTTTTGCATGAAGGAATTGATAGATTTGAAAGATATCGATATATTTCTGGAATTCATACCTTTATTTCTGCATGAAGAAATTGATAGGTTTCAGAGACATGCAGAATTTTTACACCTCGTGTTTTTATTTTTGCATATAGAAACTGATAGACTTTAAAAATATCAACTATTTATACGATTCGTACCCCTATTTTTATATAAACAATTAATAGATTATAAAACTATCTAAAATTTCCATACCTTCATTTTTGCACTAAAAATTGACAAATTTTGAAGCGACCAAGAATTTGTAAAACCCTTATCATTAATATGGAAACAGATTGGTAGAGTTTATATATATTCAGAATTTCTATAATTGACACCTTCATTTTAGCATCCATTGATAAATTTTAAAAGTATCAAAAGTGTCTATAATTCATACTCTCATTTTTGCACTTAAGAAATTGACGAACTTTCAAGGGACCAAGAATCTCCAAAATTCATGGCTTCGTTTTTGCGCAAGTTAATCAACGATCGAGTAACACTTGGCCAAATTTTGATTAAAATAATGTAAATTGCTTCGAACGGAATACAGTGAAGTCAAACAGCAATTTTGTTTTTATTTTCAACGATTTTTTCGAGCGTACCGGTTCATCATTTTTTAATTCTTCGGAGCATTATGGCCTGGAGCTGTAACCACCGCTTTAGCTCATGATTTCATTTTGCATGCACCGTGGTTTCGCGATTCAACCGCTTACTCGTGATCGCTGGTTACCGTACGTTCTCGAGTACGTTTCTCTCAATATTCTTTTTTATTTTGTACGTGGAATTTCAATTCCCCGTTTCGAAGGTGAATGTCTTTTACGTGAAATGTTCATTACGTTTGCTGGAATAACGTTCATACTTCCGATTTTTCGTAATTCTGTTCAAAGTTTGGAGCTTGATTGCATGGCAGCAAAAATGTACGAATTATTCAATGTATTCGTTGTAGATTAAAGTACAAGAGTTGGGAAATTGAAGATTCGTTGATTTGAGGGATTTTTGAATTTTCGGAACGGGGTTTGATAGTTTTGATATTTGCTGATGTGGAGAACTTGAGAATTTGAGAGTTTGGATATTTGAGGCATTTTAAGAGTTGAGAAATTTGGAGAATTGGAATGTTGGGAACTATGGGTATGAAGTTTTAGGAATTTGGGAATTTTGAGTTTCGAGAGTTTGGAAATTTGGGCATTTGGAGATTTGGGGATTTGAGAATTTGGTAATTTAGAAATTTGGAGATTTGGGGATTTAGGGATTTGGGGATTTTGAGTTTAGGGAATTTATGGATTTGAGGTTTTGGAGATTTGGGGATGTGGAAATTTGGAGATTTAGGGATTTGAGGATTTGGGGATATGAAGATTTGGAGATTTGGAGATTTGGGGATTTAGGAATTTGGGAATTTGGGAATCTGAAAATCTGAAAATCTGGGAATCTGGGAATTCAGAAGTTTAGAAATTTGAGGATTTGAGGATTTAGAGGTTTGAGAATTTGGGAATTTGGAAATTTAGGGATGTGAAAAATTTGTGAATTTGACAGGTTAAAAAATTGGAAATTAAGGAATTTTCAAAATGTTGCAATCGGAATATTGGGAAGTTTAGGAATTAGGGAATCTTGGATTTAGGAATTTGGGAATTTGGGTATTTGAAAATGTGGATATTTCAGAATTTTAAGAACTTTAAAAATGTCCAAATATTGGTATTCAAAAATTTAGGAATGTAGGAATTTACAGATTTAGGAAATTAGAAATTTAAAAATTTAGGTACTTAGGTACCTAGAAATTTAGGAATTTAAAATTTAAGAATTTGAGAATGGGGGAGTATGATAATTTAGTACTTCAGTAGTTTAGAAGGTCAAAAATTTCAGTCTTTGAAATTCTCTTAAATTGTTAAGCTTGACAAGTCGTATATTATAACATTATTCATAAACTTGAAAAATTTGTAAAGTATTCAAAAATTCAGAAGTCTCCCAAATTTGTAAACCTAAAAACTTAATAAATCAATTACTTCTTAAAAAATTTGAAAACTAAAAATGTTAAGGATTCAAAAACATTACAATTATCAGAGTTGTGAATACGACATGCACGTCAAAATGTCTCACTTCCACCCTAAGTATTTCACATTCGTACTTTCTGCTCTATTCGGCGCAGACCCATTTTCTTTCCGTCCCGAATGACTCGCATAAAAAGAAATCACATGTATTATATGTTAACGAGTACAGCCGTATACCACTATTATATAAATATTAATTAATCAAAATTCAGGGATAGCATTAATCCAGACGTGGAAACGAAGTTTCTGCAGGAAAATTAACAGCGACTCCCTGTGTGTTTGGTATCCCCGCTTTTGAGGATTTCGACGAGAAACATGCTCGTTAGCATTCTTAATAATACGTTCTAATGATTATCGCGATACAAAGATTTTTTTGCGCTTCCAAAGCAAGCGTAAAGGTTTTACAGCTCGTAGATCCGCTTCTCCGACGTGAATCGTTAGTTACTTTCTACTGTAAGCATCGTGCAACCTAATCTCATTGCACATGCTGCGTTTCATTCGCTGCAACATGGCATTTAACGTAGAAAAATGATGTTGCATGCTTTTCGAACGATAGCGCTGTTTCTGCTTGAAAAGGTCCGATGAATCTGGACTGAAGATCGAGAGTAACGTGTAATTTCGGTGTGCGTGTTGTTTAAATTAAATTGCGTACCCGTACACTATTATTTTAATACGATCGAGAAGTATTATTAAGATAACGTTGTAAAATAGTTAGCTGTCTTAGATCCTCGGTTGAGTTGGGTCATTGTTAACCCAACGTATGTTTCAATTTAATTTTACATTTCTTTTCATTTAATGTTCCTGCTAAGGTTCACGTACAATTTTTCTGCTAATTAAAGTATGATTATGTACTTTCTACAATTTTCTTGTCTAAAATTATTTGAAATCAAACCGTGAATCAGTGTCAGATTCTGTGGATCAAAGTGCAGGTATTCGTGTATTTGACGTAACGTTTGCAGCTTTTTTCAAGTACGACATTTAGTAATTTAACCTTCAGTGGCCATCGTCAAAGGAAATTACGTTAATATCAGGGGTGAAATTTCACCCGAGCGATTTCTTTTTTATTATAAAAGTCGATGGTCACGACAGAAGGCAACTAAATGTTATGCTATTACATTATTCAATATTTAATGGAAGATATAAAAGGTTTATGGTAGGCTCAAATAATTCGCGTGGGGTAAATTTCACACGTGATATATTTTTAGAGTTTTTAATCTAAAGAAATATCTGATTTCCTAAATGTGTTATAATAAAATACTTAAAATTGATAACGAAAGGTTAATGCTTAAAATATGCATTGAAAGTTCAATACTTAAAATATGTTAAAAATTGAGCAAAATATAAAATACAAAACAGTAAACTTTTAGAATGTTAGACATTTATTAAAGCAAGCAATAAAGTAAATAATAATATATGTAAAAGATATTAATTGACTACAGCTGTTTATATATTTATTGGATATCGAGTCATGTAAGAAAAATGTAAATTACATAATTTTATTAAAAAAGTGAAAAATCTCTCATAAATTATTAAATTAAAAATGAACAGAAATTTTGCAAGCGTAATTAAATTATTGAGAATTTGTAAAACGTGAGAACAAAAATTTGTAAAATGTTCAAATTATAGTACTTCCAGTCATCTGGAATTTAAAGAAAGAAAAGAACTGGTAAAAACGTATATTTACCACAAAAATGTGCAGTTGCCTTGAACCTAAAAACAGAAAATAATTGCTAGAAACATAAAGTTTGCACAAAATTCTGAAGTATAGTCACAAATTTCAAATGCAAGATGTTTTCAACTATGAATCACAGAGGCGTAACAGAGAAGCAGATTTTATTGCATGATCGCAGAAAAAAGTATGATATCATTTAGCAGTGGAAAACAAATGAATGTGCAATTGTTGAATGAAAGTCCTGAAAAATATTTTAAAAACTTGTCTCTGTTTATGACACGTGTTCAGTACTGTTCATTTAATTCAGTGCACGTTTTGACGTATTTCTTCATGAAAAAAAAATCTTACTTTTAATTTATGCATGCTTTTGTTTACTGCTGCTGAATGACATATCTGTTATTTCTCGACGTACTCATTGTTGAAAACGTTCTACCAACTGTAAATTTGATGATTTTAGTTTATTTTAATTATTATTGAATGTTGAATATTTTAATTTATAAATTTTGGAAGAAGAATTTTTAGGAATTGAATGAGTAGAAATTTTGTAATTTTGTAATTTTGGCATTTTGGAGTTTCAGAATTTTTAAATTTTAGAATTGTAGAATTTTGGAATTTTGGAATTTGGAATTTGGAATTTGGAATTTGGAATTTGGAATTTTGGAATTTTGGAGTTTCGAAATTTTGGAATTGGAGGTTCAGAATTTTGGAATTTTGAAAATATGGAATTGTAGAATTTGGGAATTTTAAAAATCTAAAAATATTCAAACATCTAGAAATTCAATAAATTAAGAAATTAAAAAAATTGAGAATCAAAAATGTTTTTTGTAAATCACCATTCAAATTTTCTCCAAACACGACATTATTCTAGTATAAATAATGTACATATGAACAACATATTATGCCGTATACTTATACATATCAAATGTATCTCAATAACTCATCTCAATTCAGAACTCTAAATGTCCAAAGTAATCATTGCGTCTTCAAAAATTGAGATTACGGAGGTTAAATCGTTAGTCGAAGGTTAAACAACAATACTCGAGAGGTTATTTTTCATTGGAGTAGTTGAAACGCTTTCCCACGGAATTTCGGTTAGCAGTTTATGGTGCTGTTTTTCTTTTCCTCCCCGCAACGAGGAAACTTTTGCAGCGAACGTTGAACGCGTATCTCGCCGAAAGGGGTGCGAAACGGGAACACGGGGAGGGCTGCGTCCACGAAAGAAGGCAAGTTTAAGGGTGAGAGCCGTGGATGTTAGGGTAGGTTGCGGCACGTTGGAATTCGGTCACTATTTTAATATCGATCCGCCCACCGTGTTCTCCCACCATCCTTTCGGTCACCCTCGTGTTCCTGCTTCGCAGAACTGACGTGTACAGGGTGCGATACACATGTTCACTGTGTACCTGCATGGATGTACACGTGGCCAACGGAATTTGTGCGATTAACTCTCGAATGAACATGCAACTTTATGGTTAGGTCATTTATTATTTATACGGAGATTTTAGATTGTTTTGTAATTAATTGGACTGACTTTGCTTATACATTTATTTAGTGTTGCAGGAATACAATAAGGGGAGTAGGTGTCACATTTCCATTTCTTCAATTTTCTTAATTGGATTCATTAATTTTATCTGAGAAAAATTATGTAGAGATTAATTCTCTGTTTTTTTAATTATCATACTGTTTAAATTATAAACTTTCATGATATGATCACATTATATGATCACATGTGATCATATTTACATACATTCATATTTAGATTGATGTATACGTTAATATACATATATGTACATATAGTGATAGTCATATCATTTGTTAATTTTGGTGTAATTTTGATATAATATGGAAGGCGTGGAAGCTTGGAAAAAATATTTTACAATAACTTTCTATGTTTTAAAATAATATAGTTCATCTAGTGAAATGCAACTTATATAATGAAATGTTATATAATTTGATATCAGTGTAACTAAAAGATATTAACAGTAAAATATGAAGGATATCAATTTTAAAATCTTAAGGTCCTAAAATTAAAAGCTGCCAACACCAAAATATGAAAATTTAATAAAGTAAAAACCTGCTAACAACAAAATATGAAGAAAGTTATCAACAAAAAGTGTTAGTAATTGTACAAATAAACGTATACAAATGATAGAACCTGCGTGACTATCTAAAAGAAATCCACCGTGCATTGCAACATATCGCACACTTTCGAGACACGTTTCAATCGCACCAAATTGAACAGCAGCGAAATGGCGCACCATTAGAGGTGGTTGAAAACCAAGAGCATTGTGACGAAATTAATCGTGTCCATTCTGCCAGCAGAAAGCTGTTGTAATTGTTACAGTACCGCGGTTCGAAACTTCGTTCGATCGGGTTGACGTGGCTGTGACGGTAACAGGAACCGTCGAGAAATACTCAAAACGTGTATCGAGCTCGGAAGTTGCAAATTACATGGCAGTTGCAACATTGTTCTAAGGTGTGCGGCAACTAACGTCCGTTTCGGTTACAAGGGGAGTTACACCCGTGACAGTTTGGTATTTTAGTCTTGAGGTCGACATAACTGAGCGTCGAAGTTCAAGTCAACTTGACCGAGCACGCTTAAAACGTGAGTCAAATTTCTATCACGTGTTCTTTGATAATGTTGCAGACGTGTTGATAAGGTTTCGTACATCTCGTTACATATACATATTTCTTATTACTAGTAAACTAATACCGAACCTGCTATCTACTCGCCAAACGACATATTCTGGTAAATAATCTTATTGTTTTATGTTTCTTTTTGTAGTTACATAACATTATATATTTATATTACATTTACTTTTACGTTACATCATATATTTTTACATCTTTACATTTACATTTGCGTTACATCACATTTTTTCACGTCACATTAGATGCTACATATTTACATTCAGAATTTTACAGTTGAATAAATGTTAATTGCTTTAACATACTAAGATCTTTCGTTTTTTCAAACATTATTGTACTTAGTAATTGTCCGTGTTCATACAGAATATATGTTTATATAAAATATTTTCTCCCTCTCTTACACAAGAATTTATTTTTACTAATGAATTCATAAATTGCAAGTTTCAGCTTATATAATTATGATTGCATACATTTTTACTTACTTATGATTGCATTCAAACTTATCGTTGTATAAGTTACAATTTGAGTCCCTTAATTGATTTAATATGATTTTATCATTTTTTAAGAGAACTAAAAATAGTTACATTCGTTATCGTCTTCTATTGCTTTTATTTAATTATTCCTGTTTCAAATTAGGTTACATTAAAATTGAAATATAAACACGAATAAACAAATATAATGAAGCCATCAATTTTTATTCATTTAACATTTATCGCATAAAACAGTTCGAATTTTATCGCCTAGTATTTTAATTTGTCCATATCTAATTTCATGTCCACATTCATGTTCACTAAACAGCAATAATTCGTCGACAATTAAAATTCCGCAAATTTCATTCGAAAGAAATTTCACAAATTCCAATAATTGCCGTTCCCCTTTCTATTTTCTATAACGAGTTCGGGATCTTTTGTCCGATAAATTGTAGCGAAAATAAAAAAAAAAAGAGCGTCGCACGCTCGTTATCCTCCGATGGAGGATCCATCGAATTCCATAGCACGGAAGCATTTTTTTCAAAGAATTATTTTTATCGGCGCTCGCGATGCGTCGATGAATGAAATTTGATAGAAAGGTCGGTGAATGCGTCAAATTCGTTGCACTCGGCCTCGATCACGTGTAACTATAAAATATTTTCGCTCTGCTTTTCATGCTTTGCTTTTCGATCGAATTTTCGAATGCTTGTGTGTTTGATATCGAAAAAACGTTCACGCGCGAACAAAAAAGAGAGAATATCAAGCCTCGATTGGCGGTGTTGTTCGTCAGATTTTATTCTTTGTTGATTTTCGTTTGGCACGAAATATTATTGAATGGGGTTGACGTTACTGAAAGAGAAAAATGACCGATTAGTCTATAGTTTCTAATTATTTAACAAACTAGAATTGTTTGCTGGAAAATTTCGTGCGTTTATTGTTATTGTTAGTGTACAGTATTAGGTATAAACGAGGACTATTGGAAATTAGAGAGTATGGGTGAGATCTTGAAATTTCAGGATGTAGAATTTACGAACTTTGAAATTCGATAAGTTTAGAAGGTCGCGGTGTGGGTATTTGGGTACTTATGTATTAGGAAGTTTGTAACTTTTAGAAATTAAACATTAAGGACTTTGAGACTTCTTGAATTTCAAATTTCGGCAGTTGGGATGTTTGATAATTTGGAGATTTGAGATATGAAAAATCGAAATTTGAAAATTTTATAATTTGAGAAAGTGTGAATTTAGGAATTTGCGAATTCAGAAATTTGGGAATTTGGGAATTATGGAACTTTGAAATTTTGGAATTTTGGAAATTTGAAATTCTGGAATTTAAAAATTTTGGGCTTTGAAAATTTTTGTATTTTGGCAATTGAAAATTTGGAAATTTTGGAATTTCGGAATTTTGGAATTTTGGAATTTTGGAATTTGAGAATTTTGGAATTTTGGAATTTGAAAATTTGAAAATTTTTTATGTTACGAGCCGGAGGGGTCACAGCCAATCATACTCTGAAGGTCATATTTTAAATTCTGCAAGACTTACATATATCCCTAAAATCTTAAAGATCGAAAATATCAAATATTAATTCATTAATATTTGTAATAATAATTGAATTACTTATCATAATTCTGAAACCTTATGGATCTAAACTCCCAAACTTTTAAATTCAAAACTTCCAAAGTTCGAATGTCCTAAATTCTCAAAATATAAAAATGTGAAGTAGAAAGTCACACAACTATAAAATTCCATGTTTCACAGTTCAAAAAATAAAAAATTCTAAAATTTGGAAATTTTAATATTCTTATATTTGAAAAACTCAGGTTCTGTAAATTAGAAAATTGGAAAATTTTGTAGACCTAAAATTCGAAAGTTAGAAAATCAAACAAAATTATAAAATTCCAAAATTTAATTCTAACATTTCTATATTTCTAAATTTTAAGCTCTATAAATTAGTAAATCACAAAAAACCTTGTTACGAGCCGGATGGGTCACAGCCGCGTGGCTGGGGGCTGTATTTTGGTAAAGGTAGTGTTACTAGGCTAACTCAGGTTTGTTAGTCAACCTGAGCGCCGAAAGAAAGTAGACGCGGGGACGAACCGACGTATGGCTAACGCCGGGTGTCGCAGGAAATGTTAATATTTGTGCTCGTACCAAAGATATACCAGTATACCTCGAGCGGCTAAAATATACCGACTGGTGGGTTGTTGGGACTTTGGTTATAATTAACAAAGGCAAAATTAAGTTTAAAATAAATGATTGAAAATATATTCTTCCCAAAACCGGTATTACAAATGTTCAAGTGTATTTGTCAGTTAAGGTGATGTTACAAGAATTGATCCTGATTTGACTTTAAGTTTAGTTTGAATAGTTTCGGCTCCGACAAAGCGAGAATCTAATCCTGCCTAGTTTTAACGAAAAACAAGCGAAACGGGGACCCAAAAGTACTTTGGAAAAATGCCTAACAGTAAACTATACGTACTGTATGGTTATTAATGCTTGAAGGGGACTCTAATCCGATCTTGCTCAAAAATGACTTCTTTTAATTCAACGCGGTGATTCTAATTGTACTCGGACAGAGGTTCCACGTTAGACGACGTTCACGAATTAAATGGGGCCGATGCGTCTTCTTCACAACCCTTTTTATACTCCAAAAATGGGTAGAAAACGAGTAGTGGTGGAAACGGTGGGAACGAATCAACGCGACATTTTCGTCTAACGAATTTTCATCACGTTGGTCCGAAGACGTTAGATGTTCCCGAGCGAAGCCTAGTAAGGAAACCCTGGTAATTGGAAAAGCTAGGCAAGACTAAACTCCCTCTTTGCGGTGGTCTTCGACTATGTTCGAATATCCAACTCCAAAAAATAAAAATCATCGGCGTACGTAACATGGAATTTTGGAATTTAAAGATTTGGAAATTTTGGTTGGGTTCTTTGGTTGGGATGACCACCGTTGCAATCGCCAAGTCAAAGGCTTTCTTTTGATATATAAATCAGTTAAATCGGAGGGTACCCCATTTTCTTGAACTTAACCGAAATTTTGGAATTTTGGAATTTTGGAATTTTGAAATTTTGGAATTTTGGAATTTTGAAATTTTGGAATTTGAAAATTTGAAAATTTGAAAATTTTGGAATTATAGAGTTTTGATATTTGGGAATTTGAGAAGTTTGGAATTTTGGGATTTTGGAGCTTTAGCACTTGAGAATTTGAAAATTAGTGAATTTGAAAACATGGGAATTTAACAGTGCAGAAATTTTGTAATTTCCATATTTCGAAACTCCGAAAATGTAACAATTTATAAATAAAAAAATTTCTGATTTGATCATATATAAAACATTTTATTTTAATAAGAATACTTCTTTTAAAACTTCTTTTATTTAAAATGTACACTTTACTACTCAAGGAATGATCAAATGCGTAGAAATATTCCTGAAAATTTCACATATCGCAATAACATTCAAGTTATAATAATCAAGAACATATTCACTGATTTGGAATTGTAATTTGAATTATTTTTTTCTTTTACGATTTCTTTTCGCAATAACGAGTATATACATAAAAAACTGAATAATGCGTTCAGAAAAGCGTACGTTTGACGTTTTCGTTTCGTTCTGTTAGCACATCTAGTTATTTTGATGGTAGATGAAGATAAAAAGAAAGCCATGCATGGAACGGTTGCGAAAGCAGAGATTGATTAATTTGATGTAGTATGTGCTTTATATCTACTTTGTGGAATTAAATTCATCGCGTTGCTTAATAACAAACTGATTCAACATTTCCCGATAATCTTTAAAAAGAACTATTTCGTTTTAAGAGATAAGTATTTCGGAAACACTTGCTATTAAAATATTTTAATGAAAAAATATTGAACATTGAACGATAATGTTCAATGGTGTTGGTGGAACATTCTATGTATCAATTTCGTTATGGTATTTTTATTTATTTACAAATTGTTATAGTGCACATTTAATGATATAAATGTATTTGTTTTAAAATCCTTAATATTCTATGTATATTGGATCATGTTGCACTAAGCATGATTATTTCTACTGTGACAATTAGCACAAGGAAATAAAGAAAAGTTAAAAACGTGATTTGTTAGTATATTTTGTAAACTAAATTATTACATTTTCTTTTTATTAAAAGAACTTAAACTTTGCCTCAATTTAACTATAAATAATCTATTGGATTCTGCATGAAAATTCCATGTCAAATAAATATAATTATTGGAAAACCAATAACCTTCTAGATTTCTCACTCGATCAATTCAAATTTTTTGTCATATTTTGTGATCCTGAAATATTCGCAAAATGGACACAAAAGTATTTAGTTAGTATAGAAATAAGTGGATTAAATAATTTACTTTTTTCGTCGTATTTCAATTTCATACGTTCGATAATCATATATTCGATCACAGCGACAAGAAGAACATTTTAAGTGTTACTTGCTGAAGAAGTTTTGAAAATTGACGTTTTACAGATTGAGTTGAGAAAAAATTATGTTTCATTCATTATTATTGGTTAACAAGTTATTTCCTATTATTTGTGGTGTTACAATTTAAATTGGTAAATTTTTAGGTACTTAAGTATTTGAAACTATCACAATGTTCTAAATAACATCGTCTTTTCATTACAGATATATTTTCATTTTTGTTTTTTCCCTAACGTGGAATTTTATTATTAGCTTCTCTTTTTATTCCAACATGGCGGAACAGTTTTCGGTTAGCAGCGCCATCTTTAACACTAAACCTACCGACGTATGACGCACATTATAATTTGAAGCTGAACATCAAATAGAAGAATAAATAAGCGAAAACTGAAACATAAATTAATACACACATCAATTCTCTATATTTATAGAAATCAACAGGTTTTACGAAAAGTACCACAATTTTATAATTTAAAAAAGAAAATTTATGAATTAGTCAAATGTTGGCTATCTTGTGTTGACTAGTTTTAATTTCTCAGTCCAATTTTAGTCTTAATTGGCTAGTCTTAATTTCTCTTTTTACTTCAATATGGAGAAGCGATAATTATCAGCGCTACTTCGACATTAAATCTACCAATGCATAATGCATATACAATTTGAAATTAAAAATAAAACAGAAATGCAAAAAAGACGATAAAACATGAATTAACGTATATATCAATTCTGTGTATCTCAAAAATTATAAATTTTAAGAAAAGCGACTCCATTTCATAATTTAAAAAAGATTTTGTGAATAGATGAAACGACTCGTCTGACAGTTTTAAAGTTAATTTCACTTTTTATTCCAATTTGCAGGAGCGATTGGTTAATAACGCCACCATTTTCATCTCACTGTTGGGATAACTTAAATTTCGAGTACCAGAACGGAACATCCGTCGCGTGGGAACCGCGAACATGCGACCTGCTTATACCTTGTGAAAGGTTAAACGTCCTGTTTAACGCACACTTGCAATAACCTCCGCCAAAGACCTTTCTATAGCCGTGGAAGCACGTCAAACGTTGTCGTTATCGAACGTCTGTGTCCGTTCGATCGATCGATTCTCCAGATATCGCACATTCGCTCGTGTATCGACGCCTTTCCGTTGAAAAAAGAAGGAAAAGGTCCGACGGTATTCTTGAAGTCGATTATTTTAAGGAAGTTCCTCGAGATCTAAAAGAAATAGAACGATGAAGGCGCAGAGTATAATTTTAACATCTTTGAAACTTTTATAGATCGGGTTATCGCGATTAAATTTCGTTTGAAGGTTACTGGTTCAATTTCATTCGTGCAATTTGTGAACTTATATTTTTTCTTGTATTCGTTAATTTTAATAAAGATAGGACGATGTAAAACATGCTTCGACGTATTATAAAAATTATTGAACAATTAAACGACTGTGGGTAGTATTTAATAACGGGCTATTACAATATTGAATATTGAATTCCAATAAAATATCAGAAAGTCTCTCATCAAAATGAAAAGAGTAATATACCAGAAGGAACATTTGGCTAATATGGTTTATAATGAATATGAGCAGTTATTTATTTTATTTGATGTATTTCGATATTGAAAGCGTTTAAAACGCTAAATGCTGCAATTAAAAATATTGCAATTATTCAGAACATGGTCATTAATAATAGTTACGTTTTTCATTTAATAACTTTCAATTAATAACTCTTTATTCGTTACAAAATTTATTTGCATCTACTTATACCAGTTACATAATAAAAGTTGTATGAAAATTTAAATTGTCAAAATGACCATATATCAAGTACACATATGTTACACAAAATATTTTTCCTAATTTGATCATTTTTACGAGCTAGAAAATTTAGGAATATGAACATTACGAGTGTTAAAAAAAAATATCATCCAACGTGTTAAAATTGTCAAGTAAAAATTAACCAAAGGTTTTCATGAAGTAATATACAGTTAGCTAATTTTATTACGATATACAGCTTATATTACCGTCTTAGGAAATTCCTTTGCACAATGAAATTATGTAATATGTTTCATTCATGCGCATTTATTAAACTGGATACGTAAGAGACCATGCTCTGTTCTATCTTTGAACATGTTCAGTTTTTTGTTTGAATAAATTTAACAAACATGCCTCGAAACACGGTGTTATCATTCCTGAATGCAACTAATCAACGTTAAGTAGATTCATTTGCATACTCAGCGAGTAATTTACATTGTGTATACGAGAAAAGGAAAAATGAAAAAAATGAGAGTAGAGCGAATGATGTCTTGCACTGTCATCTTGTTAGCAACAGAAAATAGATAGAGCAGATAGATGAATGGAGACACAAAGAAGAAAGGTAAAAAGTAACGAAAGAAAGCTGAAAAGTAACTGTTAAATGAATGGTTCCTTTCTCAATAAAAATAAATACACTTGCATACTCTTAATATACTTTATGAACAAAATAATATAACTTTATTTAATTATTAATCAGGATTATTATTATAAACGCCGATAACGCGCACCGCAGCAAAAGACTTCATCGTGACCGTACGACATATTCGCAACGCGAAATTCATTTGTTCTTTCCAAACGCGTCCGATCTTGCAGCGCTGCGCACAAACACATACATACATACTCACGCGTAGCACACAAAATTACTTATATCTCAATAGTAACAAATGTTTCATCAATATGAAGATCAGTGTTAGGCGAATATGTAAAATTGAAAGTTAGACTATTTGAAATAATAAAATATCAAATTACTATTCAAGTTGATCAGCTATAATTTAAAAATGTTCTAACATTTAAAGGATATGATTTTATTGAATCTATCATACATTTATGTAATATACATTATAGACGCATTTAATTGAAATAAAAACATAGATCTATTTTTAAAGTCAAGTATATTTTTCTGAATTATTGTCAAAATAGGTAAAATTAAAAACGATTTAAGTAACAATTATATGAGACGAATTGATCAAACGAAATATTCTTATTTGGTAAATAACTACATATAATATAATTAAAATTCGTAAAAATACATTAAACCTAATTTTGCATCTTATATGAATAGATTAAACCTTGTACTCAAAATTTACACAAATAGAATAAAACTTGTATTTAAAATTTATATAAATTTAATAAAATTTGCATTTAAAACTTGCGTTTAAAATAAAACTATATTCTCATTTGGTAAAGAAATATGATAAAACTGTTTTACAATCTGTGCAGTATATTACATTACGAAGTTAAAACTGTATGCTTTTGACTAATCACGTCGTATTTCTGTTATAAATTTCTGTTGTACTTTTTTAACGGTGTCTATTGCAGCAATAAATACTGTTATTTTTCAACAGAAGATTTCGATTCGATGAAGTAATAAAAATAAATTGTGATTGGACGTCATCACTTTTCCTTGTAATTTCCTATATAATAATGTCGATTAACCTGTTCACCGTCTTCGCACACAATTTCGATGCCGTTGAAACATATACCCGTTAGTGACAGTTCTGGCTACCAAAATCACGTTTGTCCAGGCAGCAATTAAGACGCCAGTACAAGACACCCTGTCCCTTCGAGTTCAAAACAGAAACTCTGAGGCGAAGTTATGAGCTGACCTGGCCGGAAGTTTGCAAAGTCAGCTGCAGCGTTTACGTTCAACTGAAACGTTCTGACTTGTGGTTTGTTAATTGAGACTAAATGAACATATAAGTTCAAATTTGAAGATTTATAAATTAAAGAAGTTTAGAATTTTTAGAGTTGGGGTAATTAGAGATTCGGGATTATTGGAATTTTGAGATGTGGAAGTTCGGACATTTGCTATTTGGAGATTTGGGGGTTTGGGGATGTATTGATTCAAGAAATTGGGGATTTGGAGATTTAGGGATTAGAAGGTTCAAAAAATTCAAGATTCGAAAAGTTCGAGATTTGGGGACTTACAGATTTCGAAACCTGTGATTTGGGTATTTAAGAAATAGGGGATTGAAGATTTGAGGATGTGGGGATTTGGAGATTTGAGGATTTGAGAATTAAAGGATTTGGAAATTTGGAGACTTGAAGGTTTGAGTATTTATGAACTTGTATTTCTATAGATTTGTGTATTTGTTACCGTGAAAGACCGAAATCTGGTGAATGTCGACATTCACATAGTCGCTTGGAGTATGTCTGAAATATTTGCTAAATACCCTTATTTCTGACTTACACCGGTAAATGTCGACAAAAACCATGCACTAATGGTGAATGTTGAACATGTCGGAGATTTATATTTTCTTCTTCGTAATTCAGTCGCTATAAAACGTTACAAGGGTGACGTAACTTTTTCGCCTCTCTTTCTGAGAGGAGAGGCCAAGAATTTAAAACACATAGTACATTCTAAGCATACGTGTTCTTCCTCCGTGGCCTATTCTGGCGTGAGTTTCATATAGTATACTGAACAATTTTTCATTGGTAACATAATACTGTATATTCGTTTCCCGTGATTTTAATGGTACAATTAATTTCCTTTCATCATTAATTTTTAAAACGTCAAAACGTTTTAATCGTCTGTAATCCAAAGGTGTGTTGCACTTAGTTTTAGCAGAAACCAATTCAGAAAGTATTTTAGGGTACTTTTCTTGAGAAAAATAAAAACAATTGTCTTCTCGTTTACCCGCAATTAATGCATTTAACTTTTCAAAAAAAAAATCACGATTTACTGCAGTATCCATTTAGTATAAATTACGGTATTGGAAAAAAAAATTAAGAAAACGTTGCTCACATTATCAAAGCTTGCATAAGATTGACAAAGCTGACTGACTCCCAGCAGAACACACGATTTGGCGGGAGAGAGCCAGTCTCTTCTTTGTCGGCTCCTCTCTTTTGGACTTCCACCAGAGCATATCTGTGACTGTCGACATACCACGGTGAAGGTCCGAATGTACAAGAATGTAATAAAATATTCGGTCTTTCACCGACGTATTTGGTCGGTGAACATTCTCCAATTTCGGTCTTTCACCGTAACATATTTATGAAATTGAAAATTTAGAAATTAGAGATATTTTATGAATTTGAAAGTTTGAGAATTTAGTAATTTCAGGTATTAAGAATTCAAAAATGTAAGGACTTCAATCTTGAAAATTTGATGATAATTAAATTTAATGATTTGACATCTCTTAAATTCGATAATTTTCCGATTCAATAAATTAAATATTTAAATATTTTAAACATTAACATTTGTGATTATAAAAATTTTAATATTTTTACTATATTCGTATGATCGATTTGTAGAATAAGCAAGTACTAATAGTAAGGTAATAGACCAAATCACCATTCATGCTACCAGCACATTCGAAAGCTATAAATTTACTCATCACTTGACATCACAATACATGGTCGGTTGAACAGGAACACTATTTATTTTAGACCACAAACGCTTCATCACTGTATGTATAGATCGATGAACTTGGAAGCCGTAAATATGTTATTGAACAAAAGTTAATACTCACATACCACGTATACACGTGTACTCTCGCATTCTTCCCGACGATTCATAGGTAAGTTTCACGCCTCATTTGTGATTCTTATCATCTCGTTCGAAAAAATACGTACACGTTCTTCCAGTCATTTTATACATGTCCGAGAATATGTAGACAGATAATTGTATCTATTAATCGCTGTCTTAGGTTGAGTAATCGCGAGAGGAAGTGACTGTGTCAAAAGATGGATAGAGATAGTTCGACTCTGAATTGGATGCATCATTTTAACACGCTCTGAAAGTTCTTAATCGCGTGTTTTCGCTAGTCTCTAAATCTTTATCCGCTAGATCTAAAGCAGGAGATGCTTTTTCTACTTTTTTCATTTGCATACCAACCAGCTGTGTCTAATTATTTATTAACAAGCCGTAATTATCGCGCTAAGTATACTTCATCGTGTAACAAATATTTCTCTTCGAAAATTCTATTTGCAAGACTCTCCAGAATTTATTATGCCTTTAATCACCGATCAGATTTTAATGTATTCAAATTACAAGTTTCAATGTTTCACGTGGAACAATTGTTCTTTTTTATGATTTATCGTGCCAGCGTTTACTCAAATCAAATTTTAAGAACAAGCTGATGTTAACACTAGATTTACGGACGTTTGATGGTCACTTTTATTTAAATTTACCTAAAGTATAAAAATGAATAAATTGCAGATGATATGTGGACTGCGTAAAACATTGATT